TGAATTGAGAACAGCTCTGCTCATATTTCTCTTTTATTTGCTATCTCCCCAGGCTAAAGTGTTGTCTATTTATCTTACAGATTAGGTTACTTTTTATGGGGTTCCTGCTATTATATTTCACCTCTAACTTTGTTAGTTTGTGTTTGATATTAAATTATGTTGAATAAAATGGGCAGCTCAAGGACATTTTTCAGCTCCAGCCTGAAATGAGGTTCTTAATCCTGTTTCTGGGTCTGCCCCTAGTCCTGCCCATGGGGACAGGGTCAGGTATGTAAGAAGGGCAGCAGAGGAGTGTTTGCATCAACTATGGGCTTTGCAGGGTGAAGATGCAGGACAATCGTGCCTGTAAAATCAGTCTGTTCGTGTACAGTGATTTTGGAGGCATCTCTTTAGAAATGGGTTCTAATAATATTGACATCATCACAAGATAAGATCCAGGACTAGTTAAATCACAGCCTCAGTGCTCCTTTGGGGATTAGAAGAAGTCGCTGAGCTGTCACTCTAAAGCTGATCATGGGTTCGTTTAACTATGTCATCCCATAAGACAGCCCTTTCAATTATGTCAACCTGTCTGCTCTCCCTAGACTCTAATTTTAGAGCAGCAGTAGCTAATATTCTTGGAAAACTGATCCGCCTCCACAGATCTCTCCTCTCTGTCTGCTGCTGTTAACGGAGTATCCTGTGGGGAGATCGGACTGCTTTACTTCCCCTCCTGTAATAAACCTAATAAAAATAGGTACCATTAGGTTCCTTTGTGTGTGGTCTCTTTAAGACACTTATCTGAGCTATGTAATGGAGATGTCATGTCTCCTCCACAGGGGGATCTGGCAGCACCACAGGGTCATTGCAATAAAAATAAAATTCAGTTTTAAGAGCCACGAAATTATGAGCCAAAATGCAGGATGATGGGATTGGAGTTCAGGGACCTGAAGAGGTAAATGCAAGCTGTAGTCACCCGAATATTAATGCTTCAGTGGTGGGTCTGCAGCTGGAGCAGCAAGCAAGATGTTCCTGGCTGGTGCAGGAGGACCGTGGGCGATGGGGTGGCCCTGGGGACCTTGGGGGCAGAGGACTTGTCTGTGATTTTCAGACAGTGCTGGGAGGAGTTTGGGGCAGCCAAGGCAGAGAGGAGGTGGGTGGATCCGCCTTTCTTGGCCATGGGCATCTCTGTGCTGTGCTGCCCATCATAACACACCTTGGTGGGAAGGGGACAGACCATGCCCCAAGAGAAAGGATGGAGCCAGCCACATCCCTGGCTCCCCATCCAAGGCCATGTCCATGGCTGGCAGCGATGGAGGACAGTTGTCCCCCCGCCATCCCATGAATGTCCCTAGCACTTGCAGGCTAGCCGCACAGGAGGAAACAAAGCCAACCTTGGGCTGTCGTATTTGGGGTTTCCATCATGTCAGCCGTGGCACTGAAAAGCAGCAAGGACCTTCTCCAGCCATGCAATCAGAGCTCCCATGACAGAGAGGATAGAGAAGGCCTTTGAAGACCTTCTCTCTCTTCTGGGCAGCATGACAGTCCCTTTGGCTGGGTCAAGGCTTCCTTGGCTGCTGCTCCTCCATGCTTGACCTTCATCAGGATGGACTGGCCATACTGGAGGACAGTGGTATGCACATCTGAAGCTGTCCAAGGATTTTGTTTTCTGCAGAGCAATTCTAGCCTTCTCCAAAATAATGACTCTTAAGGAACCAGTATGAAGGAACAAATATCTGCAAAGCTGAGGTAGGCTGTGATCCTCTTCAGAGGTGTTTTATTCCCTCTTTAGAATGCAGTGTGGGTCCTAAGGCAGACCATGCTGGAGAGGTGGGGTGGATGGTGGTGTTTAACCCCCACAGAGCCACCAAGAGGCATTCCCAGGTCCCATGGAAAAGGAAGGGAATGACAAAGAGCAGAACCACAGGACAAAGGAAGAAGCAATAGCCCTCCTCCCCTAAAAAACTAGAAAAGTAGCAAAAGGGATGGAGGGGAAAAAAGGAGGCAGAGAGGCTGTGCAGAGACAAGGGAGGAAGGTGACCCTCATCCATCCCACCCAGTGTCACCACTCTGGCGGCAATGGACAGGCCTTCCCTTTGCAGATCAGGTTACATAAAACCAACATGCCGCAGGCTGCCAGGAACGGTACCTCCCCCAGACTCCAGCAAGTTAGTTACACATAGCTTTCCTTTCATAAATCCATGTTGGCTGTCCCTAATCAAATTCTGCTTCTCAAGCAATTTCCTTTGCTAATTCCTCCCAAATCAGTTCTAACCCACCTATCCCCCTTGTTGCTAAGCTAGCCAGCCTCTAATCACACACTGCACTGTGTGATCCTTTCCTGAGTAATACGGAGTTCGGCACTTTCCTCTGGTTCTCAGCAGCCTAACCTGTCAGGAGCAACCTTCTAAAAATATCGCTAAAGACCTTGGCTAATTTCTAATCCTCATTTCTATTAAGATGGCTCCCTGTACTATGTGCGTTTCTAGACTTGGGATTTACAGTCTTTCTTAAGAGCATCTAATCTGCGTAGAGCCATTTCTGTTGTTATCCATACGCAGACTCCTCCCTTCCCCACCATAAAATATGATCCCTCTGGCAGCAGCTCTCCAGTCTGCAGGGCAGCATCAGCCAGCCAGTGAAGACATCAGTCTCTTCGCTTAGCTAAGCCCGCTGCTCTTTGGAAAGCATTCCTGGGGAGATCACTGGGGTTCCACTCCTCTTGGGTGCTGGGTAGGTGCTCTGTATGAAAAAAATCAGCCTGTGAGCTCAGCAGGGCATGTGATTTTCATTGCACTTCCCAAGTTCTTGAGTGTTGTGTAAATAGTATAATGGAGCCAATGTATAGATGCATAAAGGAGCAAAGGTCTTGAAGTACCTTGTATAACTGGACTTCCTATTGCTGTTTGGTTTTGGATATTTTTTGCTGTTTCCACCTTCTTTTTAACACTCCCCCCATCTCCAACTGTCAAAGCCAACCAGGTCAGAAGAACGAGGAAAGTGGAGGGAAGTGCCGTGCTCTGGCTGCCCCCCATTGCCCTGGCAGACATCAGGTAGCTGGCTCAGCTCAGTCAGGGGAAAGCCTTGTAATCACATGCCATGGGCCAAAGGAACCTGGTGGAAGATGCTGCCTGGCTGTATTATCAAGTACCAGGCACGTCTGCGTGCTCAAAGGAGCACTGACTGCTAAAGCTTTCCCTGGGCTCGAGGCCACCAGGGTTTGCATCAAACATGAGTCAAGAGGCAGGTTCTGACAGCAGGGAGAAGGGCAGCCCAAGGATGGGACCATCAGCAGATGAACAGTGCAATATCTGATGGAAACATCTACCACCGCTGCAGAACGCTCTTCTGGGACACAGCCAGACAATGATGGTTCTAACTCATACAGTCAAAGCAGCGTCAGCCTCGTTCCTTCAGCTGCTGGTTATACACAGTGAGAAGAAACTGTAAATCAAAGGACAGCACCGCTTTGAAGGCAGATTGCCAGGGAAAGTTTTACGCTAGAAACTTGAAACTGTCTTTTTTTCATGAGAGTGGGGTTGTGGGACAACCTTCTGATGGGAATAAGCTGCTTTTAACATGAAGCTTGGTTTGTTTATGAAGGGAATTACATGAAGTAGTTATGTGTTTAATAGACACTTGAATTGAATGACCCAGAAGGTCTCTTCTCACATCAGTCCCCGAAGTCTATGTGTCTGTAGCCACGCTGGGCAGAGGGCAGGACTCAGCCCGCTCGGCGCAGCACTGCCTCTCACTCTGCTCCTAGACCTGAGCTGGTATCTCCCTATAGGGCTACATCACACCCCTGGGTGTCTCCAGGGTGGGTTGCGGGTGCTCCCAGTGTGGATGTGGCACAGCTGTCCAAGAAAACCCCATGCAGCAAGCATCACAGCGGAGGAGATGGAATTTGCCCTTTGCAAACCAAAGACCCGCAGCAGACTACCGTGCTCCATCGTTGCAGTTGTTCTTTGGAGGAAGGGCTTTAAATGAGGACGTTGGGTAATTTTATGGATCCAGGAAGGAAAATTAATATGTGTGGGAAGGCTGGGGAAGAGCATCTGGCTGATGACGTGGTATCATTCAGCAACAATTCAGCAGGGTTGTGCTCTCGGGAAGCCCATAATACCCGCGTGGCCGGCGGTAAACTGGCATGCACAGCAGGAGCCACACGGATGCTGTGTGTCAGGGTGGTGGGGAAGATGGATGAGTGGCACATGCCGTTCCCAGAGTTTATCAGCACAAGTTGGCCCTTGCAGTCAGTCACCACATGCCTTCCTGAAGCTCCTCTTCGATCTCATAGCTCCACTCTGCATCTGAGTCATGTACTACAGGAGAAAGTCAGGTGTTTTCTGGGAAAAGGAGAGGCAGAACAACATTTTGCCATTTCTCAATCCTGCAACAAATGTCATTAAATCAATAGTCCTCACCTCCTCCGTGAGCAGACAGTACTGCTACACACATTAAACGATCAAAATTTCTAAACTGCACCTTGATCTTGAGGTGCCTTGTTAAAGTGCGACAAGCATTGAAAAACAGAGACCAGCTGGGAAATTTTTTATCCAGTTGACTTCTGCAAACCCTCAGCTGCAGCTGGGGCTTGTCCACCCAAACCAGTTAGCACGTGCTGAAGTCCTGCAGCAAGACCCTGAGCATCAGCCCGGTGTGGTGAGAACGCCCTCTCCCACTGAGCTCTCCGGCTTTATTTTAAGGTTTGGTGGTAACGCCAGGGAAGCATCGCACCCCAGAGGGATGGTGCTGCAGCCCGAGCCCTGATGAAAAAATGGAATGAAAATGGAAGGCGGAAAGGGCTGAAACACTCCAGCTGCCTCTGGAGCGGAGCATGACTCAGCACGCCCCGCCCCCGAAGCGTGACTCAGCACGCCCCGACTTCCCCCGGCCGCAGATTGGCCGCCCGCCTAGCACACGCAGCAGGCGGCGACGGAGAGCGGGGGGCGCCATTGGTTCGGCCCGGAGTGACGTCATCCGCGGTGGCCGGGGAGGGCGGGAGCGTGACTCAGCACGTGGGCGCGGGCCCGGGCTGAGTCAGCGGGAGGCGGATAAAGGCGGCGGCGGCGGCCCCGGGCCGGGCGTTCCGGGATCTGCCGGGATGGAGCTCCCGGGGCTGGGCCAGCACTGCTCGGAGCGCGCCTGCAAGCAGCTGGGTGAGGAGCGGGCGGGGAGCGGGTCCCCGGGGGCTGCGCCCTTTGGGATGGGATGCTTCTGTACTGGGGGGCCCAAATCCTGCACCCCGAGTCTGTGCAAGGCTGCTCTGGTTAGTAGCCGGAACCAGTGCTGCTTTTGTAATCCCTCTTCAATGGGTCTGGTAACAGAGTGGTAGCTGAGCTCAGTATTTCACTCGTGTGTGTTGTTAAACTGTTAAGGGATGTTCTTTAAACAATAAGAAGACTTTTGAGTCCAGGCTTTGGATTTGTACTTCAACTCATCACCCTTGAATAATGCCTCACTAAAGTTTCTGCAGTCAAGGAGCTCCTGAGGTATTGATGGCTTGTGTTATTGGATAAAAAGAGGGAAGACTTCCAGCTCTTGCTTAGTTTTAGTATTTGTGAGGAATGGCTTACTTTCTCTTGAGATAAGTAGATTGTAGCTAGACAAAAATTATTTGCTTTAGAATTTTTTTGTAGTCTTGTTTGAGTACTCTTACAGCTTTTAGCTCTGCTCCATGAGAATCTGTTTTCCTTTTTAATTTTTTTCTCCCAGATTTCCTTCCTCTGAAATGTGATGCATGTGGAGAAGTCTTCTGTAAAGAGCACATCCGTTATGATGACCACAAATGCAGTTCTGCATATAAGAAAGTAAGTTCCTGTACATGAGTCGGTAATTCACACTGCAGAATTGCTAAGTTATGTATAAAGACTGCTCTGAAACTTGACCTGTGGTTTTAATAGAAGTGGATGGAAGAATCACAAGATATAAGTTAATCATACAGCTGATTTTCAAATATATAGAAACTTAACATTTCAGAGGTCAGTACTGCTAGATTCTAATTTATTTCACTTGCACAGCCTCTTCCCAGAGGAGTGCTTTATATTTTAAGCAATGTATTATGGCTTGAAACTTTCTGCAGCCCCAGTCCTTTGAGTTGAAGGGCAACAAACATGAAACTACAGAATAAATAAATAGAATAAGTGGGGCCAAACTTTGATCGCTGACCCATACATGGGCCTTGAGGTGTTCAACGTCTGTAATTCCAGAAAGCCTGGAAACATATATGAAGTCAACTTACCAGATATGTTGCTACAAATTGATTTGGTAAAGCATGTCTGACTATTTTTTTGGATAATGATTTGCAGTTGCCTTTGAAATACATCTTTAAAATCATTAGTAAATGAGTAGAACATAAAACACTTGTAAATACACTTCTGTTGCCCATGGATAAGAGAAAGGGGGAGGACAGAAAAATAATTGAGTTGGTCTTCTACTGTGTTGTATGTTCATAGAATGTGCAGGTTCCAGTGTGTCCACTCTGTAATACACCTATCCCAGTACAGAAGGGGGAAATACCAGATATTGTGGTTGGAGCCCACATGGATAAGGACTGCAAATACAATCCAGCACAGCAGAAGCAGAGGGTAAGGAAACTGCTGCTGAAGTATAAACTGCCTGCCTAAATGCTTGTGAAGTTAAGTCTTCTGACAGCAGAATGTGTAGGAGCTTGCTCTGTTTCATCTTGATTCTAAGGGCACTTGAGCATTCATGTTTCAGCTTGGTCATTACTTGGGAGGCTGATCACAAAAAGCAAGCAAGCATTGCTAACTTCATGTCCTCTGTTATTTAGATCTTCATAAACAAGTGCTTAAAGCCAGGCTGCAAAAAGAAAGAGATGATGAAGGTAGTTTGTGAACAGTGTGGTGGTAACTTCTGCATAAAACATCGGCATCCTCTGGATCATGACTGTAAAGGGAGCAGCCACCCCACCTCCAAGGCTGGGTAAGCTGTATTTATAATACTTTGAGCTCAAGCTGAAATTTCAGAGATAGTATCAGGGGTTGGTGGGGAGCTCAGACAAATAGGGAATTCTGTAAGCTACTAGTCACATCAGTAAAATAGCCACTGTTTTTTCTTCATATTTCAGGCTTAATTTCTGAAAGTCTGAAAGCCAAGGTAAAAGCTTGTCAGGTGCTTCCCTAAAATTCTTCCAGTCTTCCCTGTGTCAGTCTCTCCCCCAACAGAGAATAGCCGCTGGCCCACTCGAGTACTCTTTGGGGTCTGTATCTAAATACTAGAATTTTAAAGTTCTGTCCAGCACCTTGAAGTAACCAAGAGCAATCAATAACTTGTCAAGCTGAGTTTAGACTTGGTTTTAATAAAAATGTCTCTTGCAGGCAGATATACCTTAATTGTTCTGTGCAATAGGACTGTAAGACTTGTGACAGATGCAGATAATTAAACTGGATGGAAGAGTGAAACTACTGGCAGCTTGTGTAAGAGGTGCGGAGTCTGGTTGTATTTCTTTGTAGATATGCAGCCCTGATGAGAGCCTCTCAAAATGCCTTCAAGTCAACAGGAGCAATTGGAGTGCCATCTAATGGGAGTCTTCAGCACAACAGGTATAAGCTGTAGAAGGAGAAAACACAAACACTGTTTAAAAATAGTCTTGTGTCAACACAGTGTAGGAGTGCCACTGTCATACCTCTAACTGTTCTAGAGTCGGTAGTTAACCTTTAATTGGTGTTGGGAATGCAGTAGAGAGTTTCTGACAGCGCAAGTAAATCTTTACTTCTCTGTACTGTAGTGATTAAGATAGCTATATAGACACAGGCATTAGGACATCAAATTGTTGTAACAGCAGGTTGGTCTCTCACCTGCTCAGTGTGGGGCTTGGTCAAGATCTGGAAAAACGGTGTGTCATCAGAATGCTGAGGAAAGCATAGCAAGCATCTGAATTAAAATAAATGGCTCAAGCCCTTCCCTGCCATGTTTTCTTTCTTTGGAAAGATTTAGCTGTGTAACTCTTACAGTGCGTTCTTATGTCTTTCAGATGCAGATAGTAGAGGCTCTTCACATCTGGATCAAACCTCTGTCTACTTAATCTTGTTTATAGCTCTTTAATTTTCTATGCAATTAATTTATTTTTGTATCATAGTGTTTATGCATTCAATAAACTGTCACCCTTTCCAAGTCAACTTTACTTGTTCCTGTATTTGGAATAAGAACTTTAATACTATGAAAAACAGGATTGGTGGAGGAAACTGGGGAAGGGTGGTAAGAGGAAGACTAAAATTAGTATGAAACACACCCAGCTTTGCTAATGCAAGGCTGAACTTTGATTCTCTTAAGATGAAAGTTTGAAATACAAGCTGGTATCATATGTCTCCATCCTTTTGGAAGTGAACTGGCACACAACGCAGCATTCTGCTTGACAAACAACATATATCAACATGAAGCAAGTTTTACATAAGCTGCCTCTTGGTTTCTAAATGTCATTGGAAGTACTTGATTTATAAAGCCATACCTAGTTTTTCTAGTCAATCCCTAAGCAATTCAGAGGCATGCACAGTATAATTCTTCATAATTTATTGCCTCTTAGAAACCTAGATTTGTATGGTTATTTTTTTGCAGTTGGAGGGGAAAAAACAAAGCCAGAGAAAGTAGCATTAACTGTTTGTGTCTCATGTAATGAGAATGAGGCCAAAATACAGCATTGTCTAGGGAATCTACTCTTGCCATCTTCCTGAAAAGCTTAAACAAGTGAAGACGTAACAGATATGTTCCATCTATTATCTTGATCAGCTATCTTGGCTCTTTTAAAACTGCATGAATATCCAGCTGCTTAGCTTGAGGCCTGAAATATTGTAGGCTGATGAAATGGAAATGTGCTGTTAATGAACAATGCTAATTCCCCAGCTGGGATCTAAGTAGACCTCTCATCCAGCTAATTGTGAGAAAAATGCCAAGGCTTACTGATGATGTCAGGGGGTCAAGACCTCAATTTCATGTGTCATTAGAGCTGTTCCTCTGCATGCTGGGGCTGGTGGGCTGGAGTGTTGGCTTAGGACTAACTGAAGGGTAATTGCAGTCCCTTGAATCACCTGCAGCTATGAGTATCTAACACTGTTATGCTGAAGTGGGAGGACAAGCAGTTTGCATAGCAGAGAATGCTGTGTTCTTTGACCTGGGAAAAACAGTCTTTGATAATACTGTAAGAGATGGGAGCGTAAGTCCAGTTAATGCATATGCTTTATACAACCTTGAGGTGTACTGTGGTTGTGCAAAGACTTGTGTGCCTCTTGTTTCTCTTTGAAGAGGCTTAATCTTTAAAGTGTATATGCTGCCTGAAGAGGAAATGTGGATTTATGTTCCTTCACAGGGATAGCATGTAAAGAATCAACATAGTGAGTTGTATGACTTTCATTAGAAAAGGTAGAGATAATGTAATTCCTGGCCAACACAGCAAAATATCTGATAACATGTATTCATGTTTGGCCCAATATGCTTACTTTGCATCCAGGAGAAGTTTTTGGAGAAGGTCAAAGCTATACAGAAGGCTATAGTTGGCCAAACAATATGTAATGTAGGTATGAGTTACCACTGCTAATTCCTTAGAGTCTAATTTTATGCAATCATGTGGTCAAAACTGATTTGAGAGTATCTGTAATACTGTGTTTAACCACAGGATGTCACAATAGGATATATAATAAAACACTATTTTATAAAGTCTAAACCTCGAAAACATGCTTTCCCTATTCACATTGGAGCAAATGTTTAAATTACAACTCTAATTTTAGATACCACCGCCTACTTATTATCCTGTGTGTTCTAATGCCATAATCCAGCCCTAGCACATTGCTACAGTACTAGGACTTTTGTAATCTTTCTGTATAATATCTAACTGGCCACACATTCCCAAATGATGCTGTGTACCCCACTGGTGGAATGGGAAGGGGTTTTCCAGCAGAGAGCAGCAGCAGGTGCTGATCAGGGTGTGAGGATGTGGACCTGAGCCAAGATACTCTGCCCAGCCCAGCAGTGGTGGGTGGGTGACAGGACTGGCACCCCATGGTGTGGGGAGGAGGTGGAAGGACAGGAAGGTGTGACCCTGGTTTGGACAGGTGAAGGAAGCAGAGGTGTGAAGGTTTACCTCTTCCTATTGCTGCATATAATGGTGCCAGGAGTTGTTGCCACCAGCATCTGGTACCACAGCCAGCACCTCAGCTGCTACTGGGATCAAAGCAAATGGAAACAAACACCCTGTTTCAGGTTGCTGTGAAAAAAATGTTCCCTGTTTCTGGTAAATATTCTTGCCCTTAAATTACCAAGGGATAATGGAAATGTTTGTGCACATGGTATTTATAGAAAATGAAAACATAGAAACCAATTTGTTCCCTGGAAGCCTTGTCCTAGGAGGATGTTTTCTCATCCCCTCAAACCGCAGTGTCCGCCTCTTCCCAGCGTGTTCCCTCAGACCCGATCAGGACAGCAGATCAGGGTCTCAGACACGGAGCCTGGCTAACGGGAACCGCCGCCGTTCTCCGGAGATCCGCATCGCGCTGCGGTGGCAGCCGGCACGGCGCTGCTGTGGCTGGGAACGCCCCAGCTCGCGTGGGGAGCACCGGGGCTGACACACCGGGCGTCCCTCGGGGGGAGCGCGGGGTGGGTGCTGCCGGGTCCGCGGGTCCCTGTCGGCACGAACGGATCCCGGCCAGAGCCTGGAGGGTGGCGATCACCCAGGCAACGGGGGGCGGAGCAAGTTCTGACGCCTTCCGTGTGGGATCGTGGCGCAGACATGTGACGTCAGCGCGCCTCTAAAAGCCGGCCGAGCACTCCTCAGCACGCGTGGTCCAGGTGGGCGTCCCGACTGCGAGCGCGACTTCCTATTGGTCACGCGAGAGATTGGCGTGCCGAGGACCAACCAGAAGCCTCCGCTCTCTCCTTGTAGCCAATGAGAGGGAGGGGGCGGGCTGCGGCGCCAAGCGTGGGGCTCAGTTAAATGTGCAGAGGAGGCGGGTCGGAGAGGTGCGTGCGGGAAGGGGCGAGGGGTGGTCGCGGCTTCTGTGCTCCCACCCCACCCGTGGGGACGCCGTTGGGGGCCCGATGGCGGCGGGGGCCCCGGGAGTCTCCCTGCCTGGCTGGGGGCTGCGGGAGGACCGGGGCGGCGCGGCGGTGGTGGTGGTTGAGGGCGCAGCTTCCCGCCCCCGTCCCGCAGCCGCCATCCCCCCAAACCCCACGGAGGGGGGGAGCTCGGTGCCGGGCGTGCGCCGCGGAGGAGCGGGGGGAGTGGTGCTGGAGCCGGGGCAGTAGCGGCCCTTTTGCCGCGAGGGATGCTCGGGTGGCTGCTCTTGGGAACGTAGTGCTCGGATTTAAAAGCTGTAGCGTCCCGAAGCCTTAACTCCTCAATAAAAGGAAAAGCAGACCCAGGGGTCTGGGGTTGGGGAGCTAGGGCGTAGGTGCCTCCCAGTTGTTGCCTGGCTCTGTTGGGCCTGGGCGAAGTATCGCTCACTGAGAGGCCGTTGTGGCAGAGGGGTCGAGGACTGCGGTCCCTGTCGCTCTGTCAGGCAGTGCAGGCGGTTCCAGTCTCTTGGTTTTGCGGGTTCAGCTGTGTGGGTGCCTATCAAAGTGGGTTTGTGGGTTGATTCAGAGTGTGTAAAATTTGTGATTGAGTCAGCTGTTGTCTTTGTGCTGTTACACAGAAAGTGCCTGTTGGGGCAGCTGTTGAAAGCCACTTAAATAGGATTTTTATCTCAGAAATAATATGCAGTTACAATTAGGATTGGTTTCAGACTCAGATTTTCTGCAACTCCTGTTGGCCTTTGCCCTTATGTCAATGTAAAATGAAAGATAAAGCTTATGAGACCTAATTATTTAAGCATAATTTTTCCAGTTTGATCTGTATGAAAACAGGAAAGCTTGCAGTTTAAACAGAACCAGTGGTTTAAAACTATCTGTTTAGTAATCAGGTGTGCTTCCTTTTTGCTTGTGGATATGTGTGTATGCACACATGTATATTAATGAAATGACTAACTGTCACATTAATGTATTTTGAGAAGAGAGAGGTCTTATTGGTGTTATCTGAGGTACACAATTGATCAAACAGTTCAGTGTGGTGCGTTATAACCTGCAGAAAGCACCGTACCAGCTATGGGGGCTTTCTACAAGGAAGGTCAGTGAAGCATTTTCCACAACGGGGCCTGAGAGGACAATGGACATTGAATTTTCTACAGGAGAATGACATTCTAGTTTTACAGCATCTTAACTATAATGTAGTCCTAAAGGAAACATGATGAAAATTCTCCAAAATGGATTGAAATTCAGTGCAGACATACATTTCATAGTTAAGCAGTCACAAATAATTCTTGTACCAGTGTAATTATAGTATAAGTCTGTATGTAAGACTTGCATTTAATATAAAAAAGGTTCTAATTGTAGTTTGGTGGTTTCTCTTACAGAATAGTTCTATTTTAGAATGCCAAAAATGAGTGGAGAAAAAAAAGAAAAGAAGGCAGAAAAAAGAAAAAAACTAAAGCAACATGTGGCCCAAAAGGGAGAGCTGAAATGGGAAACTGAACCAAAGAAAAAGAAACAAAATCTGCAGGTAGGTTCTCCCAGGTTTGACTGTAATTCAATAAACTGTGGACATACTGTTACCTGTGATGTGATGGGTTTAGAGATTCAGGACTGAATCTGAGTGTACTATTTGATTCAGTTGCAGTGATTCCTTAGATGCTATGTATCTCGTGTGGAAGTTAGAAAGAGAAGATAAATTAAGGCAAATCTGGATATGATTGTATCAGTCAAAAGTACATGATTTCTGTTTGTTTTGGAAAGGCACAATGGGTGAGAGAATGTGGGTGAAAGGTGAACCAAATGGCTTTAAGCAACTGTCATATGGCAATATAGACGTAGCTTAAGTCTTCATGTGATCCTGAGTGGTTGGAAAAACATGAAAGATGTTTTCTTGGAAATCCTCTTGATTTTTGGACAGAATGTTGAGTGGCCAGAAGGTGTCAGCAGTCTCTTTGTATTACTGAACATTTTATGAATTAATTTTCCGAGAATGAAATTAACGATAGTGAGATGTTATTTAAGTGGAAACTTAGAGCTATAAGTTTTTTGTGGTGGAAGTGATATGTAAACAGGGCAATTCAGTTCTGCTGTTCTGAGTCATTACTGTAGAATGTGGATCAAAGAAATATGCAGCAGTTTGATACTGTAGAAAAGTGGAGAAGGAAAGGCAAAGGTGTTTTCCTCAGGAATTCTCAGGGTGTTATTAAGCCATTGTTCTTAAACTCTTATGTTCTCTGGCCTAAGATAAAATAGATCTGAAAGCTGCTTGTTACTTCATTTATCATGAGATGTATAGTTCAATGGAGATCATATAACTAAAAAAGTATTACTACTTATATTGTTATTAGACTTTATTTGAGCTCGTTGGTAAGAATATTTTTGAGACCCTTTGTGTGCCTAAGTGTTTCCAGCTATTCCATTTAGAGTTTGTGAAGCATAATAGAAGAAAAGCCAACCTATTGGCAGTAGCTGTTCAGAAGTCTGTAAATGCCTGCAGTTTTGAACTCGGCAGAAATGTTCCTAAGTAGGGAAAGATTGCATCTTTGTCTATATCAAAGCAAAAATAGAGAATCTGGTATTTATAGCTTAATAAGAGGGAATATTCTTTCTTTTGTAGGGTGTATATTACAGGGTTTAGATTCACAGTACTATAATTCAATTTGAATTAAAATAATTTTCTAGGATAAACCAGTGTGAAATTGAAATGCTAAAATTTTATTGCCCATGACAGCCTCTATAATTTCACATAAAAGTAGAAAAAAACCCAAGTGGGCTTCAAACCCCTAGCAAGCAGGGCCTTTTTAGACCATCTGATGTCAAGTGAGAAGTTTGTAGAACCCCCAAATTAGATTTGTTGGCTAAATGCAGACTGTAGGACTGTGAAAGAAAAAGCAGATATTAAATGGAAAGAAGAATCCTTAATACTATTAGGGAACACCGCTAGGCACAACAGTTCTTAGAATTATAAAAGTTGGTGTCAGTGGGTGGCTTGAACATGTATATAGTGCTGGTTTTAGGGAATACCATATAAGGTCTATGACAAGCCATATTTTGGCATCAGCTTTATAAACTATAACTGTTGATAGTAGGAGAGCATAAGTTAGTAGACCACTTTTTTTTTTTTTTGTTTAAAATGTCTGTTGAAAATTAAAAATGTTAGGCAGGTATTAAACAATTTTACTTCAGAAATGGTTAATGAAAGTTAGCTGTTTACCAGTTCATGACTGTGACTCAGCATGTGTGCTCCCAGCTTTGCGTGAAATACTCAGTTAAGTCACAATGGCAGTTATGCTTTAAAATGCTTTTGGTCATTAAACCTTGTCAGCATGGAAAATGTAGTAGAAAACAAGGTAAAATTGCTTTGTGTGTACAGGAAGATCAGGAGGAACTCTGAGGCTGCAGTGATGTGCTCAGTTAGTCTGGATGCTTCCAAAGAAGAAATTTGGAACAAAAATAAAGGCAACTGCTGAGAGTGTATACTCTGCAGCTTTGCTTTCTTTAATTTTATTTGTTAATTTAAAATAAGCTGGAACCTTGATAGATTTACAGAAACTCCTCAGTCATGATGACTGGATTCTGATCAGCTGTAATTGACTTTTAATGTAGTAACTGAATTAAAGAAAACCTTTTTTTTGGCATTCTTAAAGTCAGGATGGGTAGATGCCAGTTTCTCCTAAAGAGTCTCATATGTGATGGAAAGAAGTCAAAAGACAGCTGTATAATACATTGCTTTTAGTGGGAGAGAGGTTTCTCTGGTTCATTAGGTGCCTTTACTGTGATTTACTTTTTTTCTATTCTAGTACAGCAAGTTCAGTCTCCAAAGTGGAAACTGTAAATCTCTAATTGATTTTGTTATAGAGCTGCAGGCAGGCAAGTTGAAATGTGTCTTAAGTGACTGGATTTAGTGTACATTGATCATTCCTTTGTGAAATTTGTTGCAAAAATTCTTACCAGCCTAAGACTAAAGCATTTTTCTTTGGAACAACTTGACCTTTCAGAGTAATCTTGATGTTTTATAGATTTTCATCTACTCAGTTTCTTCTGTTTACATTAAATAGCAATGAGCAGTTCAAGACCAATATAAATGTTTTCATGAATGATCTTAGAAGCACACAGCTCCAAATGACACATCTCTAACGGAGCTGGGCAATACAAGTTTTTAAACTTAGTTCAGCCTTGTGTGGTTTTCTGACAGATTTTCATAATGTTACTGTTTTATTTAGCTACTTGGCAATAAACCTCACATTTTAAACATTGATTTTATTTATTTTTTAATTATTATTATATTTTAAAAATGCCTGGACATTAGTTTTACTTGTTTTTAAATGATGTTGTAGTTTACTAACATACTTGTATGTTAAACATTCTAATAGTTTGAGTTTATTGTTTTGAATTGTCACATAACAGGCATAAAGAAAACAGATTTAAAACATGCCATCTAGACTGGTGGTCTGAAGTTAAATACTGGCTTCTTAAAAACTTTCTGATGGACCTTGTCTGAGACAAATTAATTTTGTTTAAATTTGTGGAAAAAAATATTTACAGTATTGTTAACCTGTCATCTTCAAATAACATAACTGTTTGATGAGCTTGTTTGCAATTACCCGTATCTTGCTTCTGTTTATGCATTTCTTCACCCTTCAAAATTTCAGCTGCCTTCATGCCACAAAGCTTATCAAAACGTCAGTACTGACACTTACAACACTGTAAGTAGGGAACAATATGTTGTGGTTGCTTTGTTTATGAAGGCTTTTTGAGTTCTACCCAAAATGACCTTACTGTATCAAAGGATCTGTTAACCTTGTAATTTAAGGGTAGATCATGTTTCTCCACCGCTGTTTTCAGAGCTGCAGGCTTTCTACAGAACAGAAAGACATTATTTCAGAGTTGAATATCTATTAGGCAAGACTCAAAATTCATAATGCATAGAAAACAACATTAATTTGCTGTTCCTTCCCAATTTAGTAAACATTGTAACTTTAAGGAAAATTACAATGACTAAGAGGCAATCAATCTTTATAAATCAAATTCCGTTGTTCATGGTTGAAGAGTGCTTTAGGTAATGATCATATGGTCAGTGAGTGTTTCCTTGCATGTTCCTTCAGCATTGCAAACAGTTTGAGGAGGAAGACTCATTTTCCTCAGATAAAGGCAAAATCAGTGGGAAAGGAATTTAGTTTTTGAGATTCCATACAGATAGTACAAACAATGGCAAATAAACAAGTAGCTCATGGTGTTTCTTTCATCAGAGGGCTAGTGTGCAGGTGCCCAAACAGTAAGATCCGTTTACTAATGGAAAATGGCAAAACTAGTGGGGAAAGGGTTTTTCTGTTCAACTTTTTGGAGGTTATCATAAAGACCAAGAAAGAGTTAAGCTAGTACTGCAGCAAAGAAAACCAGAAAAAAAATATTTTTTTAAAATTATTGTTTGCTTGTAGTAGTGGGAAACCCCATAAAATGATGTTTAAGCTGTGGAGATATAAGTTTTGGCATGAGTTTGCTGGAATACCTAGGTATGCTACTTTGATACTATCTCTAACGCTGCTTCTATTCAGGTTACTGGGGTAGTAACCTGACTGTTTAATGAATGCAAACCAGACATTCATGCTATAAAACCAATCAAGCAGATACTGTAAAGCTATCATCGGAAACTGTATTTATTTATTTGACAACCTACTAATTCATACCAAAGCCTGTTGAAATAATGAGTTGTGGATGATTTGCAAACAAACATGGTAATCCTTTATTGTTCCATTAATTTATTTTTTTTAATTAATGGGAAGCTTATTTTGTAACCATCAAAATAACTTGTTTTGGATTTTCCCATCCTAAAAAACATCATAAAGTTACAATTTAGTGTGATTTTGCAGGATTTTCTTCTGTTTACCAGGGTACCATTATTAGATGTTCGTATATACATTAAAAATACATTTTGGAAACTGCTTGCATTGCAATTCTGCTATCAACTCCTGCTGCGTTTGTTTAGTTTTGCTTTACTAGTGTAATCCTCTACTGTATGCATGAGTGTTATCTGGGATTATTAATTTTTTTTGTTTAAGATATAGGTAGAAAACCAATCTTAAATACTGAAAAAAAGGAAAATTCCCAAAAGCTAATTTTATTTAACATAACCTTTAGCATAAGAATCTTGTCTTGAACTAGGGGTTTTTTGGACCATTTTTAAAGTGTGTCCAATATGCAAATAGAGTTTTGCCCATGTTATGAAGAGAAGATGACATAATCTTTCATCTTCTCCCCCATGCCCTGATGTAAGGATACATCAGCAGTTAGCAGTTTTCTGCTGATAAAAGGGGGGTGATAACTATTTCTCAAAATGGCGAAGTTAAATGTCAGTATGGATATTAGTGCACTCTTGTTAGTCTGCTGGTTTTGGTCAGTCTATAATTGAAATGTTGGACCTATTTCTCTTTTCTTTGGGCTACCTTTTGGTTGAATGTTTATTCAAATTTTTTTTTTTTTTTTACTTGCACAAAGAAACAAGTTTGCTGGCC